ACTCGTGAACAGTTCATCATAGAGCATTTTGCAAATGAATTATATAATGAAAACCCAAGTAACTTGAAGACCATTTCAGTAGTCGGTGGAACTTATATTGGAAAATCAGGAAATTACCGTACTTTGAGACAATGTTACTCGGTTCATAAAGGACGTCATTTAGTAAAACCGATTATGATGGTTGTACCAGACGAATATATTTTAGATATTCACGTGCCGTATTTCTCAGATTCAAGACACGCGGAATACCACAGACCCAGTCAAATTAACCGGGGCCACTTATCCAAGTAGATCAGATATCTGAGTGGAACAGATATATAGTTACAATGACTTGGACAGCCTATGTCTTGGGACCCGATGAGTTTTTGGGCGTTTTCCTTTTGAAATGTGTGTTCAGGATACCGAAACAGATAGGATTTCACAAATTCAGTAATATTAACCGAAAGCACTATTCCAAGTAAACTTAGTATAATCCATATTCTATCATACTGACTTTGACCCCCTATATCTTGAAACCGGCTGATTTTGGTGTCTGCGTCCATTAAGGCATTTGTTCATGTCGTCAGGATACATAACATATAAAAAATTGAGCGAATTTCACTGAAACCGCTCTTCCACTTAAAGCATATATTTGAGTATAACCAGTACATTATACTGACTTGGACGCCCTACATCTCGGGACCCGTTCAGATTTTGGACTTGTGCCCATTAAGACATTTGTTTAGGACGCCGAGACACATAACATATGAAAGATTAAGCGAAATTGACCAAAACCACTCTTTCATCTGAAGCAGATAACTGTAATCTCGTTAAACTGACTTGGACGGCCTACATCTTGGGGCCTGTTGAGTTTTGGGGCCTCTGCCCATCAACGCATTTGTACAGGACGTCAGGGCACATAACATCTGGAAAACTCAGCAAGATTAACCGAAACCACACTTTCACTTGAAACAGATATCCGAGTAGAACCGATACCCCACTAGACTGACCTGTACGTCATATATCTTGGACCCGTTGAGTTTTGGGGGCTGCGTCCATTTAGGCATTTATTAAAAAAGTATGAGAAATTAACCGAAAACGCTCTTTTACTTAGAGTATACAGGGTGTTCCTTAATGATATGCGAATATTTAAGGCTGTGGATCTACATGAAAAATTGATGTTTGCTGTATAAACTATGGACCAAAAATGTTTGCTTACGAAAACTCGGGGTGTTGAAGTTTTAGGAAAAAAAATGGGAATTAATTAATATTTTCAGAACCACTTCAGATAATTCACTGATATTTAGTACGTAGTGAAAGTTGATAAAGTTGCATATTTTTCAATGCAAAAATAATTTTCAGATTTAACTGGGGGTGTTCCTTAATGATATGCGAATATTTAGGGCTGTGGATCTACATGAAAAATTGATGTTTGCTGTATAAACTATGGTCCAAAAATGTTTGCTTACGAAAACTCGGGGTGTTGAAGTTTTAGGAAAAAAAATGGAAATTAATTAATATTTTCAGAACCACTCCAGATAATTCACTGATATTTAGTACGTAGTGAAAGTTGATAAAGTTGCATATTTTTCAATGCAAAAATAATTTTCAGATTTAACTGTGGCGTGCGTACGGGTATTGACTTCAACGTTTTTTAGGAAAAGAATGGTACGCCAATGGTTTTTTCCAAATAAAAATTATTTTTGAATTCCCCGTTCAATTTAAAACAAATGATCTTTCTTGAATTGTTTTCCTTCAATGCGCCATTTTTGAGTAAAAAAATAAAAACCGTTCTATTGTCCGAGAAAATTAATGTAATAATTGAAGAATGCGATTTAGCAATAAATATCTAGTTGCTCTGGAATATGTCACTGGCTTTTGACATCTGACAAGTCTCTGTTATTCAAATCTGTTCGCTGTGACATCTTTTTCATTATTTAGTTTTTACAATCTTGTTAATAATGGTGAATTATTCAAATGCAGAAATGACGGAAATGCATTACGTATATGGCCTTGCCGACGGTAATGGTGAGCAAGCCAGATGGACTTATCACCAGAAATATCCCGATCGTGCTTTGCCAGATAGTCGAACCTTTCCTAATATTCATTGTCGTCTTGTTGAAACTGGTTCTGTCCGAAAAGGAACATCTGAAGCTAGACCTTTGAGTGTGAGAACACCTGAAACTGAGGAAGCAGTGCTGCACGAAGTCGAAGAACATCCTGAAACGAGTAAGAGGGAGATCGCTAGACACTTGAATATTTGCCATAAAGTTGTTTGGAGAATTTAGTGGATTTTTTGTTATATGCTTACCATATTTTAGGAGTACAGGCATTACTTCCCATTGATTTTCCAAGACGTGTGACCTTTTGTCAGTGGCATCTTCAAAAAATTACATAAAATCCGCAATTTGAATCAATGATTTGACAGGTCGGTTAGTCGACAGTTACCTGATGCTGACGCCCCTTCAGAGAAAGAGGCCTGCACGCCACTTCATAATTGTGCTCCGCGACGAAAGGCACCTTGAGGTGACCGTCGGTCGGTTATCTCGTTCGACAATGTACGTCAATCGGCCAACCTGCTCTCCTATTCTTTAATTGTAAATGTTCAGCGGATCCTCAGCACTGGTGAAAACGTAAAACGACTCGCGCAGATTGACGTGTTAATGGCACGAGAAGAAGGTATGAGTGTTTGTAGGCGATCAGAGGGGCGGAAAGTTCGAGGGAGGGGCGAGGTGCCGCCTTCCTTCGCTGCGTGCGCGCTTTGAAATCGTGACGGTTTGGTACAACTACGAGGGTACTACAATATATCTTGAATATTTACTTCGACGAGGACGGAACATAATAAGATATCGACATATTGAATTGTGAATTCAAGAAAGTAAAGTGTGCTGCTAAGAACATGTCACAAAGTACCTGTGGATAGTATGTTTTATCTTAATTTTGTATTGCTGTTTGAGGGGATTATGTATCTGTTGGGAAATAAATGCTATTATATATAACTGATGTCTGTCAAAGAAAAGAGTGTTTTTTTAAGAAAAACCAGCAATATTTTTCAATGAATATTTGGTTATGGCTATGGTTATTAAAGCCCAGCCATCATGACCATATTACTTCAGACGATTCGGCCATATCAGCTGTATATCTGCTATATCTAAGCAATGCCTACATTACATTAAGTAACCTAGTAGTTCGGCAGTCTCACAAAAAAAAGGTCGAAAATGTCAAGCAGTCACAAAACAAACACTAAGTTATAGCTGGACCATACTAAAAATATTACCTTATGTTGGTAACTACTATTTGGTTGTGTGTGATCGGAAGGCGCGACGTGACAGAAGTGTGAAATAACTTGGGGACAGTAAAATTCTAGCTTGGCTACATCAGACGTTTTTCTTGTAAAAATTATATTGAATCGTAGTTTTTGAATGCAAATGGAAGAAATGGGATCAAAAATGAGCGCAGATAAGAAATTTCTGATTCAACAAATGAAACACCTCTGCCTCTTGATAACACACTGTTTAATCTATCCTCGAACTTTTACCTAATGAACAGCAGTACAAAAAACCCTTAAACGTCTTCCGATCGGCAGAGTTATTACGTAAAAAACCTATATAATATTACAAAAAGCGATAAAATGTCATCCTAGTCACTATATGGCTGCTAGTGTGCAAATAATTCAAACTGCGCTTACTCGCTGTGAGCGTCGTCCATAGCCGAATAACCTCAGACTAAAAATATAAATAGACTTACCATTCTTACGGCACTGTAATGCATGAAGACAAACAAACCCAATTCAAAACAAATACAAACAATAAGCTGTGTATGTGCTGACCACAGCTGATTCCACCAGTGGCGTAGGTGCTTTTTTTGTAATGGTGTTCTGGTTAATACACCCAGTATCACCTTCCATGGCAGTGAAAAGAATAAACACAGAGAAGTAAACAAGGTTTTATTATTGGAACTTAATTATCAGGTTTATTGTTTCATAATACCTAGTACAAAGGTATATAAACAAGAGAGAGAGTATTATGTAAATAATAAGAATTGAGTAGAAACTTTCCTGTCCAGAGTATGAATACAAAAAAAAATAGTAAGAAAAGGATAGTAACCATGATCAAAAGTTGTATATAAAAAAATATATAAACAAACAGAAAAAGAATAAATAATTGACGCATCAATTTAAATTTTCTGTCTTGATATTGAAGGCACAAAAAAACTATTCATTCCTTAAGAAAGATCTTAGCTTAAATAATTCCCTAAAGTATTTAAAAAGTTTGTATCATAAATTCAACTCATTCGTTTTATTTAGGCAAACAAAGACACAGATTTGGTTCAAACGATCTGACAGAATATGTTCTCTCAATGGATTGTATAATGGATGTATAATGGTTTATACATTATTTTATAGTAGTCAATCCATGTTTGAAGATTTACTGCATATTTCAGTAAAACAATTCCTTTGGACTTGTCACTCTCCCTAAGTCATTATTTATAATTCATTTTATAATTTTGCTTTTTATTTTTTTTGTAATTATCAGGTTTTATTGATTTTGAAATAATACACTTTTTGTGAGTAATGATCGTACACGTTTTGAAGGGTCATTCAAGTTAGAGGTATAATGGTACAACTTAATGGTAAAATATTGTTCTAAAACTTGTTTACAGAGCAATGGAAAATGATTACTTAAAGGTTCATCTTCGAATACATGGTCCTTAAACACATTTCCGAATCCAAGAGGTAAGTTTTGCAATGTATAATTTGTTAATATTTGTGAAGCTCTTGTCATATTTTTTTTGCCAACTTCTAACCTTTCCTTATATAACCTAAAGCAATGTTCTTCATATTTACACACATTTATTACAAAAGCGGAGGCTTTAACTAATTTTCCATACGATTTTCTTATTTGTAATTTCGATATAGACTCTCCTGAAGTTTCTAACAAATCTAAACAACTCAGGCATTTTATAGACTTTTTTAGCATCTTCACAACATATGCAACAACATCTTCCAAATACAGTTTAAGCTACCAAGGACTTATTCGAAGAAAGTTTTTAAATTGTGTAAAATCTTCATCTTGCTCTATACTGTTTGATGATGAGGTCATATCCTCACTAATTTTGATCTCTGATGATGATGAACAGTGCAAAATGGATGTGCTATCTAATGCCACGACATTGGATGCTTCATTGCCACTTATTTCAGTATGAAGTAATAATTTTTTTAAAATATTCTGAAACTGCTTCGAGGTAGGATTATTGCTGTATCCTCCTTTGCTTCTTATACAACTGAAGAAAATTTCCAAATGATCTTGAGATAACTTATATGTGAGAAGGTAATTCAGCTCTTTGGTTTCTTTGACTCTATATTCATACAGGCTGTTTATTGAAATTATGAATCCCAAAAATCCTAATTTTCTTCTAGGAAGTATAACTCTAGTGTCTCCTAATTTTAACGATTTCAAATAATCCTTCGCTTCTTCTAAGAAATAGAAATATTGTTCAGTAGTAGGTGACAACGGTTTCTCATAAGGTTTTTTTGACATCCTATTCCTTGAATTAAAAACATCAAATAAATTGTTTACTGTTCTACAAAAAGATGCTGTAGCTTCTGAATCCTTGAAGTCAGCCATAGCCAGATCTTTGTTCAAAAAGCCCAATGCTTCTGCAACACTCTTGCTCAAAGTCTGGACGGCAAGTTTAACTTTCATCTTTTCATTCACCCATTGGAGATTCTTCTTGTTTTTTCTTATCACTAGGAAACCTGAAAGATCAAAAACGTGTCTAACAGAAGAGTCTTTTTTGAAAATCACCACACATACAGTGTAAAAACAACCAATAACTATAAAATGTCTATTTCTTAATACTAAAAATCACAACGCATCCCCATGCGCTACGCCCTTGTCCTCCTCTAACCTCTAACTCACCTGTGGAAGGTTGCCTCAGTTTTTTCACTGCTAACTCCACAAAGAATGCACTTACGACGTCCCATTGTCTTTGAAAATTGTCTATCAATGATAACAATGCTATAATTGCCGCTAAAACAACCTGAAAACATTTTTGAATACTCGCAACAAATTCACTGTGCACAACAACAAACACCAGATGTTTGTAAATTCTGTGTACGCATCCACCACTTGCCGTTGAACACCGTTGCCATGTTCGGCAAAAAGTCGGTAGAAATGTGCTACTTTCGAATGAGAGCAAGTTTCGTCCAAGGTGGAACAAATCCAGTCAAACAACTGACTGGGCAAAATATTATATGTAATGTTCGCTATGAATTACCCAACATGAACCTGCATCCGTTTTGAATTGAATTTACGGCGTGTCGGCCACCTCTGTGACCGTTTTTGCGAGTATAAACAAATATGAAAAGAAAAAATAAATTTTTAAAATTTAAAATGACGTTGACAACTGCCTAGGAGCAGTTGTTTGATCGACCCACGATCGTCCGGAGCGTCCACACCTTATTTAAGTCCACCTTCATTTCGGGCGGAGTGCACACCAATATCTCATTCCATTTTCAATAGATTTTTCAGTATGGAGAAGTGGCAGCGTCGCATATATTTGTTTACCGTAAATACAGTTATGTTGACGACCATATCTTGTAGGGAATTATTTGTCTATTTATATTTTTAGTCTGAGCGAATAACTGTACGCTAGCGCTGGTGCTATCGACATTATCGAGGCATAGGACCGGCTTCGGTTTGGTTCAGGTTTGATTGAGTTTGCGGAGCCCAATAATTCGGTTCTCTTAATACATTGGTGTATATGCTACTAAGAAAATCCGCTTATTTTCTCAAGATCTACACGTCGTGAGTTACGTTAAATAACTGGCTGATTTTTAACCTGTTTTTTGTGGCTAATCAACTGGTTAAAAATGCAATTCTCTATTGCAAAGTGCCTGAATTTTTAGTAAATATGCAAATAATATATCCATATTATTGTGGGTCTGACAAAACATCAGATTCAATATTTTACTAGGAAATATACAGCCTTCATTAGTATCTAAGTAATTGCTTTAAATTCAATTGAAGTGTATGTTTTTAGACCAAAGTTATAAAATAAGATGTCAGCAGGATGCACAAATTTCGTTTCAAAGAGATTTTTTATTTTTTCCCAAAGAATCCGCATTGGAAAACGCAGTAGGCAGCAAAAATGAAAAGGGGAAAGTAGCAACCAATAGGTTTTTTAACTTTGTGCGAGGTAAGATAACCCAGTAGAGCTTTGTATTTCGAATAATATGCCTATTTTGTTTAAATTGAAGACGAATATACTATTGAATTGATGAAAGTTATTAAATCAGAATCACTACCTACTTTGCTTCTCAGTTTTTTATGACTTTGCTCCAGAAATGTAGGAAAAACTGAGAGAAGGTAGAAAATTGAAGAATAATGCTCTTCCAACATTTTTATCTTTCACTGAAGAAAATCCTAAGAGAAAGCCACCAACACAAAGATAAGTTTCTTCAGGTATGTCACCTGTTGTTGTGGATAACAAAGAAAATATTTTTGATCATACTCCTACAAAAAAACATAAAAGTGAGTCTTAAGTAAATCACACTTTTTGACTCATTTGAAAGTAAAGTGTATGATGCTTATATGTCTAAATCCCAGATATCCTTCAATGCACCAGATAGTGTTATGGTTATAAGATATTTTCAGGACAACTTAAGTCATGAAAGAATTATGTCAGGATATTCTGTGATATGGAAAGCGTCTTTCGAAAGTACTTTTACGTAGTCTAACATAATAATTTGAAAGGTTTTTTCTTAATAAAATGAAACGTAGTAGATAATATATTAAATTGTCATGATATTAAGCAAAAAATTGTAACTGGTAGGTGGTTTTTAGGCTTAAAACAGCTAGTAGGAAAAAAGTTAACTTACTCAATAAATATGAAACTAAGTCATTCAGATAAAAGTTGTAACTAATCAATACTTATTTTGTTACACTTAGTTTTTGTTCTGAAACCAATTGCTAAATATGCAGATTATTGCAATGATGTTTCTGATTTACCTTTGTTTTATCATCTACTAGTTTTATACTCAAAAAAGAAGTTTTTTTAATGTTTTGTTATTATAATATTGTCCAAAGCGTTTATTCATGAAACATTAAAAAGTAACACTATTCCTGTATGGCATGTGTTATCTCCTCCATGTAATAGCAAAAATCTGTAACAATAAAGATACATTAAAAAAAAAAACAAGAAAATTAACACATTTTTTGGGGTTTCGCTTCTTTAACATAAAATAGCCTCGAGTTCTTCTGTTAGCTTCAGTTCAGTTTCTATTAAACTTGTTTTAAAGATCATACCAGGTCATTTAAACCACTGCAAGTTTAAATAAATGTAAGAAGTACTTAATCACTTTATAAAACGCATACACATTACGTTAACATTTGTTGTTGACTTCCACAAATTCTTCTACTAGTTTGCGAACAATAAGTATAATGACTTTATGGACCAACTGGATGAAAATGAAAATACATTAAAATATCCTCACAAGCTAAATAAAAAACACAAATTTAGGTATATTATCTAATTACACGTCTCTTATAGTAAACAAGCCAACTTTTGACTCTTAAAGGCGGTGGGCGGAGTTTAGTCTCTGTTGTCGCCAGTGTGCCTATACAGCCACTGTACAAAGAGCCATATCGCCATCTACGAGACTAACTTTTCAAAGTAGATTCCCAACTATTGCTGAGAGAAGAAGGATAACTGACAAATTATCATAGCAACTCCGTTGACAGCTAATCTTCCAGCCAGTGCTTCAACTTTCAAAACAGTTGGAAAGGAGCAATATAGGTATTTAACAGTTTGACGCTTCCCAAACACAGTATTGTACCTTGATGAACATCCTAGCTCTCATCCGCACGGCTATTATATAAAAAACCTAGAAAACGTCAAAAAAAACGACGAAATGTTATCTTGCAGGCTAGGTAGTTTTTAGTGTCCAAATAGTTCATTTCACGTTTGCACGCTATGATCGCTGTTCGTCGACGTTTAAGCAACACGTACAGCTACAAAACGAGTTCACCACAAGTGTACAACAGCTTGTTCTAAGTTAACATCTTGTAGAAAAACCTACGAAATGTCGAAATAAACCTACGAAATCTCAAAAAAAAGCCGACGAAATGCCACTTTTCAATATAGGTACTTACATAATAGGTGACCGAGTTCTGCCAAAGAGTCGTCCATTTCTGCTGGTCGATGTGCAGATCACCGAGGACCTGCACGGGTATTACGTATACTGAAAAGTAACATTATGTCGGTTTCTTTGTTGACATTATATTGGGTTTTGTAGTAGATATTATGTAGGCTTTTCTACAATAACTTAGCACTAGTTGATGGACATTTCTTGCGAATCCGGCTTGTAGTTGGTACGTGTTGCCTAAGCGTCATGATGCTTCAGTTATGGAGGTCTAAGCTGTAAGTTGTATACTATAGCTAGAAGGAAATGGCAGTGCATACGTGCAAGTGAGGATTTGTGTGTTAATAATGTTGAGAACCAGAAGACATCCGAAGAACGGAACAAAGTGGCAACGTCGAGCGGTCGAGCCAGGCCGACCGCCCTCCTCTTTCCTTCGTCGTCCGCGAAACCATACACACATAAAAAATTGTAAGCAGGATTCTTCAATGTTCTTTGAAAATAAAGTTATTATTTAACTCGAGTAAGTGTTCACAACACAGAAGCACCCAATACAGTCCACCTTTACAACGTTACAGGGTCCAACCGGGCCGAATGGGAGAAGAATTGAGCGATTCATAATTGCATTTATTTCTATTTCGTCGCCGCCGTGCAGCCAGAGCCTCCATTTGCCGACCACGCGGACGACCAAAGACATCGCAGCAGCGCACCTAGACGCCAGACAAGGATGAGACATTTTCTCCCAAGTATTTACCCATCCTTATGAGCGAAAAACGTACAGTTTTTGGTGTGAATCATTAGCATATATGAGATATAGCAAAGATATAGTAAATTTTCTATCTTAGCATTGATATATAGCAGAGTGTCACGATTTATTACCATTTACAATACAATCAATGTTTATCATTGATATAAACAATGTGTTTGGTCACGACATACCGATATTTGAGCGGGATATTTTTCAGCTTTTAGGGCTGACACGGATATGGTCTGCGGCTCAACACGACACATCGTTTTAAGAACAAAGAAGTGCATAACCAGTAATCGAGGACATTTTGAACAACTTCTGTAACATTAACCCTTTCGGTACGGTTGCCGGATATACCCGACAGGAAGCAATATGGCCCTGCGGCCTGGTGACGGATATATCCGTTCAAGGTTATTTTGTTTAATGACACTTGTGCCGTTTATTTCCGACTCTTTTGAAAACTTACATTCACCGAGAGACTGCCGACGACTTTATCCGACGTATAACGCATTGTGGATGGCCTGCTGTCGGAATAACCCGTCAATGTCGGAAATATCCGACGGCAGTCGAGCATGGTAGCATGCCATGTACGCACGATACACGTAACACGTTACGTGTATCGTGTATCGTGCATGTACCGTAAGCTTCAGAAGCGTCAGTTCGTTCGATCATGTCAAACGAGGAGGCCAGTTCGTCTCAGGGCACTAAGCGGCCGAAAAGGCGTAAAGTAGATTGTAGCGGATATTGTGGTTTAACTGAGGAGGAAGTCAATAGTATTTTAAGTCTGGTAGATGAAGATATTTACTTGTCTGACGTTAGTGAAGATGACCCCTTTCTCGATAGCGGAAGCGAATATTGTCCATCTTCTGAGGACTCTGAGAGCGATCTGGATGAATTGGAACCGGAAAATGAACAAGAAAATCAGCAGGAAGAGGTAGGAAACGTTGAAGATAATATTACTCACCAAACAGTTCTGGAAATAATTTGGACAAAAAATGAGTTTCTACCGAAAATACACGAATTTGACACGACCAATAGCGGTGTAAAAGACCAAAACCTCGACGAAAACTCAAAGGAAGTCGACTATTTTCTTAGTTTGTTCACAGAAAACATAGTGGATGTTATTTTGGATGAAACAAATAATTATGCACGCCAACAAAATGCAAAAAACTGGAAGCATTTAGAACGTTCCGAATTTTACGTTTTTCTGGCTTTGACGTTGCTTATGCCTCGCAATAAAAA